ATAAGCTGGGGGACAATATACAACCTTGTCGTACTCCTTTCCCAATTTTGAACCAATCAGTTGTTCCATATCCAGTTCTAACTGTTGCTTCCTGTCCCACGTATAGGTTTCTTAGGAGATAGATAAGGTGGTGAGGCACTCCCATTTCCTGTTCTGAAACCTTTAATGGCATTTACAAGTAACAACAACACAAGCAAAATAGGAGAAGTAAAAATGCACTCCCATTTCTTTAAGGACTTGCCATAGTTTGCTGTGGTCCACATAGTCAAAGGCTTTTGCATAGTCAATGAAGCAGAAGTAGATATTTTTCTGGAACTCTCTGGCTTTCTCCATAATCAAGCACATGTTAGCAATTTGGTCTCTAGTTCCTCTGCCCCTTCGAAATCCAGCTTGTATTTCTGGGAGTTCTTGGTCCACATACTGCTGAAGCCTACCTTGTAGGATTTTGAGCATAACCTTGCTAGCGTGTGAAATGAGTGCAATTGTGCGGTAGTTGGAGCATTCTTTGGCACTTCCTTTCTTTGGGATTGGGATGTAAACTGATCTTTTCCAGTCCTCTGGCCACTGTTGGGTTTTCCAAACTTGCTGGCATATTGAATGTAGCACCTTAACAGCGTCGTCTTTTAAGATTTTAAATAGTTCAATTGGAATGCCATCACCTCCACTGGCCTTGTTGTTAGCCAAGCTTTCTAAGGCCCGCTTGACTTCACTCTCCAGGATGTCTGGCTCAAGGTTAGCAACCACACTATCTGGGTTGTCCGGGTTATCCAAATCTTTCTGGTATAATTCCTTTGTGTATTCTTGCCACCTCTTCTTGATGTCTTCTGCTTTTTTTAGGTCCCTCCCATTTTTGTCCTTTATCATGTTCATCTTTGCACGAAATGTTCCTCTAATATCTCCAATTTTCCTGAACAGATCTCTGGTTTTTCCTTTTCTATTATTTTCATCTATTTTCCTGTATTACATTGTTCATTTAAGACATATTTGAGTAGTCTCAATTGTGGTCTGAAAGTGACAACTAGTGATGATAACTGAAATTACTCACAGCTTGATAGCCTTTACTAATGAGCCATTCTCACTTAGTCCATTCTATTCCCACGTGGTCTTGGGATCATGTATAACTATGACAGTCATATCATCTCACTCTTACGCCTGAGGAAGTGGACTTGATCCACAAAAGCTACATTAAGATATAGCAATTAGTCTTTAAGGTGTCCACAACAATTTTGTCTCTTGTTTTGTTGTGTGTTTGTAGAGGGGCTGTGGTTGTTTTGTTTTGTTTTGTATGATACGCTTGCACAGACTAACATGGCTACTTCTTTGGAAACGACAGGTGTGTGTTCCTTTGTATCTATGTGTCTTCTTCTCTGTCTTCCATCTCCTTTCCCATTCTACTTAGCCTTCAAGAGCCTCACTAACAACGACCAGTCTACATTTTGTAGCCAATAAGCAAATATTTTAGGTCCCTAAGTGGTCCTTCTTTTTATACTGTTTCTGCTCATCCTGTTTTGTTCCCATGTATGTGGCTGCTGCCATTTTTCTACATACCTGAAAACATTCAAAATTGGTCGTAGAATATAGTGCGTGGCTATGCACATGGGCACTGCAACAATGTCCCCTGCTTCCTAAACCAGTCAAGATGGTACTTACCTGGTCTTCTAATTTGCGCACCAGCTCCTCCTGCATCTGCCACTCTGTGTTACCCACTCGGTGCACCCTGCCCATGGCTCTGCAATAAGAAACATACGACCCACATACCAGGGTCTCAAGAAAATCCTATTTTGTTTTGTAGCCTTGCTGTTCATCCATATTTAACATAAAAGGGGCTACACCAGGAAGCTTTCCACAAGGCAAACAACACTGAAGCTGTCTTCCTCTGAGGGAGTCTGAGCCAAGTTTGTTTCATCCCCCAACACGGGGAGAAGATCGCAGTAATCCAAGCTTCCTTTTATCTTCTCCCCTGCAAGCTTAATGTTCTAAGTACTTAATCTCGTTCATCCTTTGGTCCTTCCTCCACCAACCAGGTCCTAGAGCCAAACCCCAGAAGTCACCAGAGACACCAGATTTTCTGATATCATCGTTAAGTCATTTCAAGAAGGGTGTTTAGGGAAATGGAAGGGTAAATCTGAAGCAGCTGAGAACTGTCTTTGAAAGGAAGCTACGGTATGTACAACGGAGTCAAAGCTCACAGCGCTCTCCTGTTAATCTAAGGGGCTCCCTGCTCTTTCTCAGGAGAATGACATCCTTTGCCATCCCTACCCTTTCCTTCCACGCTCCTTCTGACCTTAGCTCTGATCCTCACAATCCTGAGGGGAAAAAACATTTATTTAAAAGCATCCCCTTTTTGTAAGGCAAAGTGTTTGGAAATGATCTGATCCTGAATGGGCAATTAAGACCCGCTAGTTTTACAAAAAGCGATGGCGTGACTAAGGAATCCACAGTCTTGTGTTTACACAAGCTCAAGGGGCCTCTTGAAGGCAGGATCTTCTGGAGCAGTGGTGAACCTTTTTGAGCCCAAGTGCCCAAACTGAAAAAAGAAACCACAAAAAATCCAGCGAGTGGCAGTGGAAGCAGATGTGGCAGCAGAAGGGGGAATCCCAGGCACGGTGGTGTCTCCAGACCTCACTCTGGATCCGCCTCCAGTTGTGCCCATCCCCCACCAGCACCAGCTGCTCTAGATCCTGGCCCACCGCTTGTCGGGGCACTAGCAGCCGCCTCCTCAGGTTTAGCTGTCAGGGTTAGCAATCCGGCGACTTATGGCTCGTGTCCCTAGAGAGAGGGCTCTGCATGCCGGCTGTGACACGTGTGCCATAGGTTTGCCATCCCTGTTCTGGAGGGTCACTAATTCACAGGGTTGCCATAAATGGAAGTAACATAAGGGCACATATCAAGTTTTACTATAAATGAGTAGCTAGTTACTAGAAAAGTCTCTGCCTTATACTAATATTGCAACCTGGTTAGTATCACTTTCTCTTCATCACCACTCCTTTGAGATATCATGGGACACGGTTATCATCAGTTGGGGTAAAATCAAGCAAGGAAAGTATCAACCAAAAATCCACTAGATATAGCAATTGCAACAAGTGCCAAATTCCAATAGCAAACACTGTAACAAAATTGGCAGCAGCTCTGAGTTTTTCATGCCATAAATCTCAGTGGGTTGGATGGTCCCTTAGCCTCCCCCCACCCTCACCTCCCCCCAAAAAAGTATCAGAAAAGGAGATGGGACTTCTGGTTCTTGGGAATGTGGAGGTTAAAACAAATATTTCCCCGGAAGACAGATACAAAACTACAGAAATGCCCTACCTATAATGTGTTACCCACATTATACCCTTGTTTTCTAATGACAGGCACTTCAAGAAAAGAGAGATCGGGCAGTGGCTTATCTAAGCTCATAAATGTCTCCCGATTCATTGCCAAGTCTGTTTTCATGCCAAGGCGGCAAGGAAAGAAGCAGGAGTCCATAGTGTGGAACTGAAATAGCCATTCCCCCTCAGCTTTATTTACGTATCTTCAAATAATGGAACAAGTACGTGAGGAGGGGAAAAATACAAACCTAGAGAAAGTAGAGTTGGATATTTCACAATACCAAAGATCTGCTGTTGATGAGGATCTCCGGAGAATTGCTGAATCAGAGGAAGCAGGAAGTTCTCGTGAAAATTGAGGTTTTTACAGACCCAAGAATAACAAGGAGATGAAGGTGCAACAGGAAGGAGGAAGTGTCTGTCTCAAGTCAAACTCCCCCCCCAAAAAAATCTGAAGCTGGGGAAAGCCACAATACCAGTACAAAAATGGAGAAACAAGATAGTTTGTTGAAGGAAATTAAAAAATTAATGGATTAAAACATAAAAGACCTTGGAGATCAAATCAAAAAAGATATAGAGCTAAGAACAATATAACTGAATTCAAAAGAGAAATGCAAAAATCAACATTGGTGATTAAAGATCAAGTTAAGGAGATTAATACAAAAGTGGCAGAAATTGAAAAAATGGTCAAGGAGAATGCAACCAAAATACATCTTCAAAAAATAAAATTTGATGAATTGGGAATAAAGGCTGATTGATTTGCAGGACTGAAGTATGAGGAAGAATCTAAGATTGAGGAATTTCCCTAAAGGAGGTACCAAAGAGAAGAAAACTTAGAGATATGGTTTTGGAATGGCTTCATTAAATAATACCTGATCTGGAATGGGTGACTCAAGATCTGGAATGGTTTCATAAATCTGGCGCCAAACATGGGAAGATGCTCCCAAGGGACATTATTTTTAGATTTGACAATTTTTATAAAAAGGAGCAATTCATGAAGCAGCCAGAGAAAAAGCTGGCCAATTGACTTATAAAGGTGCCTCAGTACAGGTGTATCAAGACCTGTCCCCCCCCCCCAAACTGTTGCTTGGAGACACAACTTGAAAATAGTTACTGTGATCTTAAGAAAGAATAATATAAAATACAACGGAGGGTACCCAGTTTATATGAAGGTCTGGTTTAATGGGAAACATTTTAAAGTCACATTGTTGGAATAGGGGTTACAACTGCTTCAAGATTGGGGGTTAGATGAAGACCAGCTATTACCACAGGATTTGGAGAGATTGGACAAAAAGAAAAAGAAGGAACAGACGGCCATTACAATGGAAAGAGAAAATCAAGAGGTGTAAGGAGCCGTGTGAGGCTTGTCAATGTAAGACCTCCTTGGAACATTGAAGTTTTAGATTTGTGGAAAGCTGGAAATGCTTCAAGCAAGTACTGTAGATAAACTCTTTACAGTATTTCCTTTTTTCCTTTCCCCCTCCCCCCCTTTTTCCCTACATACATATATAAGAGAGAAAAAAGAAAAATATATTTGAACTAAAAAAATTGTTGCAGAACTAAAGGGGGAAAATATTTTATATATAGATTTTTAAAAATAAACAAATGTATTGTACATATTTTTTGAAAAATATAGATTTTTTCTTTCTCCTTTTAATTTTTTTAACAACCTTTTTCCTTGTAGCATTTACCTTTTCCCCTGTTTTTCTCTATATACAGTATATAACTTTATACGTAGTAACAGCAAATTTGAGTAAATCTACAGAGTTAGTTGGAGCAAAGTATTTTGCTGCCTGAGCCAAAGGATGAGCCAATTTCCCTCCCCAACTTTGCACTGGGAATTCAACTCCAGCAGGCGTTATAGCATTTTCTGTGGCACCCACAGGCCATTGGTCGTATGCAAGGGCACGGGGTGATGCACACTATGTGGTGCATACAGCTCTGTTCTCCGTTGTTTTGCCACTGCTTCCCAGTGTAAATTGCCCTTATCTGTCTAAGGGTAGGACTGGTCTAGTGAGCCCATCTGAAAATATCCCTCCACCCCTTCTAAAAGACCAAGAAGACAAACAAATCATATCAGAAAAAGCATTAGCAAAACACTGTACATGTCAAGAAATATTGCACCAGTGGGGGAATCTCAGGCACAGTTGGATATCTAACAGGGATGCTTTTTTGGAACAAAGGGCTATATTTTAGGGAAGGACAGTGACACTAAGCTACCTCCGCTCACCTTTCCTCAAGGCTGTTGAAGTAAGGGGTGGTGTTCACAACTTGTTGCTTCCCTGTGGGCCCTTCCCTGGAGTGGGTGGCAGCAAAATGGTCCTGCGGGTGAGCCCGATTCCATTTTTCGATGTTAAGCCCTGAAACAAAGACAGATGACAAAATAGGCAGAGAAATAGCCACACCTACTCCTGCCCTCTTTTCCTCATCTTTTACTTACGGGGGGACAGTGTAAGGCCTGAACTCACGGACTGGACCTCCTGAGGTAGTAATGATCCGGGATGGAGTGAGAGGGGAGGTTGACTGCTGTCTGTGACAACAACCTGGGAGGAATAAAGAACGGAAGATGGGCTGAAATAGAAATCAAGGATTTGAACTCCCAGCTCTCAGCGACAAGGCTGGGGAATGTATGACGCTTCAGGTGTCTTGCTGAACTAAATTCCTATAGTCCCTCACCATTGGCTATGATTGCTGGAGTTCTTGGAATCTGTAGTCCAACAGCACCTGAAGGGTCATATATTCCCCAATGCTGTTCTTAAGCCTGGGCTCATCCAAGAATCAACCATTTATCTTGCAGTTGAAACTGTTGTTTCCAACTTGCCATTAAAACACACAGAGACACACACACACACAAATGGACAGCCAGACTGGAAAAAGAGCAAGGAGCAGGACTCCTTGTAGCTCTGGCCCCAGCTAAGTTTTCAGAACTGTGCACCATAGGTCAATATAGAGTGTTTCACTGGTCTCTGCCTTCAGGTCTGAAAAAAATGTGTGGGGCTATGGGACCTGACTGGGAATAGGGAAGGCTAGGTTTGCCCCAACCTTCTGGGTTACATATCCTGGATTCATGGTACTGGATCTCTTTTGGCTTTCAGCTCTTTGCCCAGAGGACTTTGCATTTGACTCCATTTTCCTTTCAGGAGCTAGCAAACCTACTCAATATGCACTGCATAATTTCTGGGCCTGCGTCTATGTACTTTCCTGTGTAAAGGTTGCTCTGCCCTGCCTACCTAAGTGGAATAACATGAAGGCCTACTGAACCAAAGACTGAAAATATCAGAAGAGTAAGGACTATTGTTCAGATCAGTTAGATACTGGCCAAAATCCTCTTGCACAGTTATAACGTAAATTGAGGCAAACGGTTGGAGGCAAATTGGTGCATGTTAAGAAATTACCACTCGCATGATTTGTGGCATACTATCCGAGAAAGCATGCAATAGATAATATCTGTGGTGATCTATTAACTTCAGGAACTCAACTTCCAAAAATTATACCATTTGCATTACAGGTGCATAACTACGCAAGAAGATTTGGGCCATTAAATGCTAACATGCACTTCACTGTCATGGCAAGACAGGAGGAAGGAAACAAAACAAGAATTAGCTTACCCTATCTGCTGTTAGCTTCGGTTTCCATTCCCTCTCATCCTGTCCCACCATTCCTAATGGGCCCCAATTACCACTGATGTTTTCTCCTTCTCAGCTTCTTACTTTTGATTTGACAAGCAGAGTGTAAAAGTCTTACAGAAGAACATTTTTCACTGGAGCAGGTCCACAGTCACACATTTTTTATACTTGATGCACAGGGTTAAACTGAAAAGCTTGTGGCAGTTTCCTTCTTCGTACTGTGTAATATTAGGTGCTGGGACCATGTTTCACACATGTTATTTTCGAAATATTTAAAACAGGAGGTCTTATGTTTATGTACAGCATTTTAATTACTGCAAGCTGAAGGCTATCAAGGAAGGAGATGTGAAAAATATTTAAAACAAATCATATACTGTACTCTAAATCTGGCTACCATCCTACAGGATAGGGCTTAGAAATTTAATCTGGAAGCCTCCAGCTCTGAGATGTACTAATTCATATATTCTCTGTAACTCTTAGAAGACTTGGAGGTCCTGGCAATACCTGTTTGATTGGCTCTACTTGATTCTGTTTGTCCTCAGAAGAAGTTGTTATGACCTTTGGTGGGCTCAGCAGCAATGATGATGGTACCTGGGAAGAAGATGGGCAGGACAACAATTATTTTGAGCCACTGGGGCCACAGCTGGCTCCAGCGTTTTGGAAGCCCCTCCAAGGCAGCCTGGTATTACAAGAGCATACTCTCTTTCAGCACAATATAGACCAGTCCAGTACACACACACATACACAGAGTAAATATTTCCATCCAGTGTGTACGGGCCTGATCATGGCAGTTTTTTGACCAATCCCCAACTGGGGCCACAGCTGGCTCCAGCGTTTTGTTAGCCCCTCCGAGGCAGCCTGGTATTACAAGACCATACTCTCTTTCAGCACAAAGCAAGGTATAGACCCTCCAGTACACACACACACATACACAGAACAAATATTTCCATCCAGTGTGTACAGGCCTGAGCACGGCAGTTTTTTGACCAATCCCCTTGAATGGGTTGACTGTCTCCTATGTCTTGGGACTTACCTGCTGTTTGTAAGGCACAGCACGTGTCAGCACTGTTGGCCGGATTTGGATGCTTCTTCTTGGACTGGACTGCCATACGTTCTTGGGAACCAGAGAAGAGGATGGTTTGGAGTCAGGCATCGGGAATGGCGGTATATCTGGAAAAGAATTTCATCGCACAAATTTACATTTCTACACCTTTCCCCCACACATGTGAAGCCAAAGGTCTAACCAAACATGTTAATCTTTCAAACTCTTGGAAGATACTTAGATTTGGAGTTTCCAAAGAAGACTGTGAACTTTTGCGAGCCTGCAGGGGAGTTTCCCTTTCTGCTCTGCTACCTTGTTGGTTAAAGGTTCTGAAATCCCAAATTCCCAATGGAGTCAGAGGCACAGCAACACCAGGACAGATGTAAATTGAATGTAGCAAGAGGACAAGAGTTTCCATTTCTTTGACAATGAATCATCCCATTATTAGACATTAGCTAACATGGGGAGACATAGAAGGAGCATCAGTCCTCTGGGCAAGGGCATGCAGGGGGCAAATCCTTTGCTTCCAGAAGCACTGCAATGGAACAACACCAAACCCACTCACTTAATGGAAGCCGACCCTCTGAACTATGGTTGAGGTCAAGGAAAAGTTTCTGCACACATCTCAAAATATGACCACTTCTGATTATAAGTACTGTAGTATGATTGTTTTGACAATTCAATTGGTTCTAATGTGTGTCCATGATTTTGAAATGAGCAACACTCTGATAAGAATAAAGATTAGCTAATGGTGAAATATTAGCAAATATCTTCAATATTGTATTCTTGAAGACTTTCACGGCCAGGATCTGATGGTTGTTGTGGGTTTTTCGGGCTCTTTGGCCGTGTTCTGAAGTCTGTTCTTCCTAAAGTTTCGCCAGTCTCTGTGGCCGGCATCTTCAGAGGACTGGAGTCGGAACTGGATAGTTGAGTATTTATTGCTGTGAGATCAGCTTTTGTCCTATTCAGGAGATGGGTGACTGTGGTGATCAGCGTGTTTTTTGTTGTGGGTGTATTGTTGTGATAAGAGGGAGAGATTATCTGTCACTGTGATTGATAGGTGTCATTAGCTGGTCTTTTGTGTGCAGTGATCACTAGTCCTTGTAGCTGGGTAGAGTTAGACTTTGTTGTGTTTTAGACGTTCTTCCTTTTAGTTGAAGCTTTGCTGATGTTTGTGGATTTCAATGGCTTCCCTGTGCAGTCTAACATAATGATTGCTGGTGTTGTCCAATACTTCAGTATTTTGAAATAGAATGTCATGTCCAGCTTGTTTTAGGGCATGTTCAGCTACTGCAGATTTTTCCAGTTGTTTTAGTCTGCAGTGTCTCTCATGTTCTTTGATTCTGGTGTGGATGCTGCATTTTGTGGTTCCAATATATACCTGGCCACAACTGCAAGGTATCCAGTATACTCCTGCAGTGGTGAGGGGGTCCCTTTTGTCCTTTGCTGACTGTAACATTTGTTGTATTTTTGTGGTGGGCTTGAATGTTTGTAGGTTGTGTTTTTTCAAGTTTCCTCATGCAGTCCGTGACCCCTTTGATGTATAACAGAAATACTTTTATTTGTGGGTGACTGTTTTTCCTCTTTGGTTTGATGGCTCTTGTGATTTCATTTTTGGAGTAGGCATTTGCCTGTAGGGCCCAATTCAGATGATTGAGTTCGGTGCTGAGAAATTGAGCTTCATAGTTCTGATTTGCACGGTCTACCAATGTTTTGATTATGCCTCGTTTTTGCTGTGGGTGGTGGTTGGAGTTTTTGTGTAGGTAAGGTGGAATCCTGCAAAAGGTCAGCGAACTCTACCCAGCTAGAAGGACTGGTGATCACTGCACACAAAAGACCAGCTATCGACACCCATCAATCACAGTGACAATCTCTCCCTCTTATCACAATACACCCACAACAAAAAACACACTGATGACCACAGTCACCCATCTCCTGAAAAGGACAAAAGCTGATCCCACAACTATAAATACTCAACTATGCAAACAAACTGCACCAGAGCACAGGCAGAGTTCTGACTCCTATCCTCTGAAGATGCCAGTCACAGAGACTGGTGAAATGTTAGGAAGAACAACCTTCAGAACACAGCCAAACAGCCCGGAAAACCCCCAACAACTCTTCAATATTAATTATTTATGTACTCTTTCAATATGCAGATTCCTTGACTAAACATGCATTTCTCTATCAGAAGGAGCTGCTAAGATATCTAATTCTTTTCTCTTGGGGTAGCCACGTGGTTAGGCCCCATATCCTGACTCATTCACAAGAGGATAAAAATTGTTTGGGTACTTGCGCAACACATATAAAGCTGAAACCTATTATACATACAATTGGAAACATTGCAAAAACTAGGGAAAAAATTAAAACAGCACTTCTATATTCAATTCAAGATGGCGAACCGATAACTGGTCGGTGGCATTTCCTCCGCCGCGTGGTCCATTTTCTTTTTCTTTCTTTTTGTTTCTTCTTTCTTTTTTCGTTTCTTTTTTCATTTTTCTGCTTTCTTTTTATTTTGATTCCTTCCCTTACTGTTGCTGTTGTTTGTGGCTTGTCTGTGGCTGCGGAGGATGCAGAGAGACGCTGTTCCTCAGAGGGCATCTCGGAGCTGGAACTGGAGCCAGAACTACAGGTCGAGGCGGCGAAACGAACCCAGTGCTGGAGCTTGGATTGTGGGGGTCAACAGGGGCTGTTCCGTGAAGCTCGGAGTGTCAGCGCACTGAAGTTCGTGAGCCGGGAGTCTTGGCGGAGGTACTGGCTGGAGGTGAACCAGAGGGACTGCCGAGACAAGCCCAGAAGCGTGGGAGGATGTAGAAGAGGCTGGAGGCTTGTAGGAACCTTTTAGACTCCGGCAGTGCAGAGCCTTCAGCTGGACGTTTGGCATCGGGGAGCTTGCCGTGGGGGGTCTGTTGTGGGGTCCTGTGGGCTGCCCCCCTGCTGGATGCCATGCTGCAAGCCTTATTGGAATCTGTTCCTCCTGCCCTGTCTCCTGCTGTGAACAGTGAGGTCTTTACAAACACCTTCATGATACGGAAAATGGCAGCAGTAGCGCCATCTTCACCACGAACTTTCCTGCTACTGCTCCTTTCCTTCCTAAATGTTGAAGCTTGCCTCAATTTTAAAAACTGTCTCAATTTTTAAAACTGTCCTCATGACCGTTCCAATTACATCTGGATAGATAGTGATCTCCAGACATAACACAACGAAACAGGACTCTGAGTGGGGGGAGAAATTTTGTGTTCAATTACTACTTTAAATGTACCATATTTTTCCATTTATAGAATGGAAGTAGCACCATTTTCACCACAAACTTTCCTGCTACTGCTGCTTTTCTTCCTAAATGTTGAAGCTTGCCTCAATTTTAAAAATTGTCCTCACGATCGTTCCAATTACATCTGGACAGATAGTGATCTCCAGACATAACACAACAAAACAGGACTGTGAGGGGGGGATTTTTGCATTTAATTTTAATTTGTTTATTTATTTTCTATTTATTTTATTTTTATTTTTATTTTATTCTATTTATTATTCTATTATATTTTGGTGTATGTACTCTATTTCATTTACTTATTATAAATTGCTTTGGCAATATATGCACTTTATGGTATTTAATTTATGCTCAGTACATTTAATTTACAATTATTTAGTTTTTTCCTTTCTTTTTTGAATTATTATTTGAACTATCTGCACTTTAAACTATTTTGTTAATTTATGGAGTGGAAGGCTTGCCCCCTCAGCGAAGGGCCATTTAATATATGGGTGATAACGGGTAGAGGGAGACGTGGTGCTGGCAGGGCCGCTACTTGTGTGGGAAGAACAGTGAGCAGATGCTTGAAAGCTGTACACTGTTCTGAGACACTGACCAACCATCAGGATCGAGGTAGCCAGATCAGCTGGCCCTCCACTCTAAAACTGGTGCTATTGAATGCCAGGTCTGTATCCAATAAATTCCAGATTATTTATGATCTCATTCTGGAAGAGGATGCAGACCTGGTGTGCATAACCGAGACATGGATTAGTGGGGAAGGGGGTCCACCCCTGGCCCTTGTCTGTCCTCCCGGTTATGCAGTCCAGCACCAGGGTAGACTGGAGGGATGGGGGGGAGTAGCCCTTGTATATAAAAACACTCTGGAGGTTACTAGGTGCTCTGTGGTGGTGAAGCAGGGACTGGAGGCCCTCCATGTGTCGATAGGGGCCAGGGATGGTATTGAGATTTTTCTGGGTTACTGTGCTCCCCATGACCCAGCCATCTCCCTACCGGAGCTGGTGGACTTTGTCTCCACGGAACTGTTGGAGTCCCCAAGATTTTTGGTCCTGGGTGACTTCAACATCCATGCAGAGGCAGAGATTTCCGGTCCAGCTCTTGAGTTCTTGGAAACCATGGCTCCCTTGAACATGTCCCAACATGTCAATGGCCCCACCCACGTGGGTGGTCATATGCTAGACCTGTTTTTTTCCTCCAACTGGAGTGAGCATGATCTGATGGTGACAGAACTTATGTCTGTCCCCTTGTCATGGTCAGATCACCACCTAATAAAATGTAACCTCTCAGTGACCCTCCCACCTCGCAGG